TCAAATAGTGGGTGTTGAAGTTAAGCAATGAAACTGAGCTGCTACAGGTATGTAGAATGACAGAGGAGATGCCATGAAGACCACAACTTCTGTGTAGGCCTATCTGCATCCATTTATTTATTATCTATCTATCTACCTACCAATCATCTAAGTATCTTCATCATCATTAATCATCCATCACCTATATATCTATGTGTCCATCTAATCAGATAATTTGGAATCTCACTCCCCATTAAATTGAATGGATTATTTTAAGGAACTTGTTTGAAGTGACATATATCTCATGAAGAAACAGTATATCTGTAGATAGAGACAGAAATTACTGCATGTAATGTTGACATCAAAGAAGAGCAAACCTCCTTAAAAACAGATTTGATAAAGATTCTGTACTTGAATCTGAACTTGAGCACTTCAAAAGGGCGAATGAGAAATTTTTGCAAAACCCTGACAAAAGGGAAAAATCATTTGGATTCCAACTGCATACAGAATGATTGTTGAGGGAAAGAGATAAAGGATCAATGAACAATGAAAGACCAAGACAATGAAAGAAGAGAGCATACACGCGGCTTAGTGAAAGGGATTGGAGGTTCATAATAGAACAATCCTGGACTTCATTTTTGCATACTTAAGCCAGCTGTTTAGTAAACTGTCATTGTTTGTTCCTTCTAAATTCTATGTCCTCCTTGTAAGTAGTATAACACATGTGGCAGTTTAGAGCTCAGACTTCAGAGTTGGTCAAATTAGGGTTTGGATCCTGATTTCATTTACATATGACTTTGGATAAACTATTTAATCTCCACGTGCCTCAGTCTCATCTGTAAATTATATTTTTTGCGTATTTACTGCAATTATATATGTAACAAAATCAGCATAGTGCCTGACACATAGTATATGCTCAACTTTGGTATATTGGAGTTTGGTTTATCTATTCATGGAAAAATGACAGGTAGTCTAGAGTAAGATTTGTGATGAAATAATTTATAAAAAGAACTATTCTTTACAGCTGTATTGAGAATTTTCTCCCAAAGAACAGAGAAGTGGTATTGGCAACTCTGGACACCCTCTTTTCAGTCAAGGGCCTTGAGAAAAATAAAAAGTCTTGGGAAAGTTGCCGGAATAGCAGAGACTTGCTCTGGTTATAAGTTTATTTTATTTTGAAACTTTATTTTTCACCTATTTTTAACATCAATTTTAGCTGTATTAAAAACATGAAATAAATGAATATTTTATCCTTAATTGTTTCAGGTAGGAAGCAGGATATGCTTTTAATTTTTCATTTCAAAATATTAAGGGAGAACCAAAGATTCTGTTACATAGATACCCTGTATAATGCTCAAGTCAGGGCTTTTGGTGTGCCCATCACCAGAATAGTGTTCATTGTGCCCAATGGGTAAATTTTTATCCCATACCTTACCTCCCTCCCTCCTTTCTTGGTTTCCCTGTTTTTGTAACACTTTGTGTTCGTGTATACCCATCATTTAGCTCCCACTTATTAGTGAGAACATATGGTGTTTGGTTTTCCATTCCTGAGACACTCCACTTACAATAATAATCTCCATTTCCATCCAACACATTATTTCATTTCTTTTTATGGCTGAGTAGTAATCCATGGTGTGTGTGTGTGTGTGTGTGTGTGTGTGTGTGTGTGTATCTCATTTTCTTTATCTATTCATGAATTGATGGGCACTTAGATTGGTTCCACATCTTTGTAATTGTGAATTGTGCTATGATACACATTTGGGTGCAGGTGTCTTTTTTATAAAATGACTTCTTTTTCCTTTGGGTAGATACCCAGCAGTGGGATTGCTGGATCAAATGGTAGGGCTACGTTTAATTATTTGGGGAATCACCATACTGTTTTCCATACAAATTATACTAATTTGCAGTCCCACCAACAGTGTATAAGCATTCCTATCTCTCTGCATGTACTCCAGCATCTATTTTTTTTTTTTTTTGACTCTTTAATAACGGACACTCAGGCCGGGCGCGGTGGCTTACGCCTGTAATCCTAGCACTCTGGGAGGTCGATGCGGGCAGATGGCTCAAGGTCAGGAGTTTGAAATCAGCCTGAGCAAGAGCGAGACCCCGTCTCTACTATAAATAGAAAAGAAATTAATTGGCTGACTAAAAATATATATAAAAAATTAGCCGGGCACTGTGGTGCATGCCTGTGGGCCCAGCTACTCGGGAGGCTGAGGCAGGAGGATTGCTTGAGCCCAGGAGTTTGAGGTTGCTGTGAGCTAGTCTGACGCCACAGCACTCACTCTAGCCTGAGCAACAAAGTGAGACTCTGTCTCAAAAATAAATAAATAAATAAAGGACACTCTGATAGGGGTAAGGTGGTATCATATTGTAGTTTTAATTTCCATTTTCTTAATGATTGCTAATGTTGAGCATTTTTTCATATGTTTGTAGGCCATTTCTCTACTTTTCTTTTGAAAAACTACTTTTCATGTCTTTTGCCTACTTTTTGACTGGGTTTTTTTTTTCCCTTGTGATTTCTTTGAGTTCTTGTACAGTCTGAGTATTAGCCTTCTGTCGCAAATACAGTTTGCGAATATTTTCTCCCATTCTCTAGGTTGTCTATTTACTATGCTGGTTATTTCCTTTGTTATACAGAGCTTTTTAATTTAATTAAGTCCCATTTATTTATTTTTGTTATTGCTGTATTTGCCTTTGGGGTCCTAGTCACAAATTCTTTGCCTAGGCCAATGTCTAGAAGAGTTTTTCTTACATTTTCCTCTAGAATTCTTATGGTTTCATGCCTTACATTTAAGTCTTTTATCTATCTTGAATTAATTTTTGTACCTGATGAGAGATAAGGGTCCTGTTTCATTCTTCTGCAAGTGGCTATCTGGTTTTCCCAGCATCATTTGTTGAATGGGCTTCCTTTATGCAAGTCACAAAAAGGGAAGAAGGAAGAGATGTAACACAGAGGGACACTATAAGACCCTATGATGATGTAGACTATGGGTAAAGCAGTTGCTCCTGGAGGAGAGGATTTTGAAATCATGTCATCTTTATGAACCGTGACCACAATCCGGACTTTTCAATTGAGCTTCCCAGATTCACCTGGCAACAATAGAATCCTTAATCCCATTAAAAGGGTTAGGAAGCTTCTGCTCATTAGTTTGTTCTAGTTTCTAGGCTATTTTATCTTAAAATCAACTTCCAAATCTAAGCTTCTCGTGTGGCTTTCCCTTTGGTAAACCAGGAGTGAGGAGAAACACTGATGTAAGGAGATATTTAAAGAAAGTGTCTTTAATTTTCAAAGGCCTCATTAAAGATTACTATTTTTTAATATCTGGGCTATAGGTTTTGTAGGTGAGAATTCAAAGCTGGCAGTCAGGTAGAGAATCACATGAGAATAATTTACTGTCCAGGGAGATCAGAATTTGCACTTCTGTTATAGTTGAGGTGTGGAGTGAGGACTCACCTCTCCCTCCACTCACATCCACTGATTTACACAGGGCTAGGCATTATCATAAAAACACTGAAAGCTTCCAACTTTGTCCATTCCTGGGTTCAGACTAGAGAAAATGGGTAAACAATGGTAAGAAATTACAGGTCCCTGAAAGAAAATTTACTGTAAGACACAAAGGAGCCTTGGCAAGGTGATTCCAAATTAGCAGCAGGGTTAGAAGGGAGTAGAGCTTCCAAGTGCAGCCTGGCAGCTGGTACCCCAACCTGTCCACATCCAGCTATTCTGGTGGCATGCATTTACCATGGGAAGAAAAATGGCAGAGTGCATCACATAGAGGACAAGGGCATTGTCCTCCTCTGTCTTCAAAGGACTTTAAAACTTTAGCATCTCAGTAGAGGAAGAACATCATGCCAAGCTCTCAAAGATGAGGGTAATAGGACAACAGAGCCCAGTGGGAGCAGCACGCATGCTGTGAAGGCCAGCAGCTGGGGCTTAGCTGGTAGTGGTGGAGGACAGCAATGCTTTCTGGTGAAACTCAGCTTCCATGGTGGTGGAATTTATGGTTAGAAGAGGCCAGGATAACCCTGTAGTGTATCTCCAGAAATGGTGGTAACAGTAGGTATTGGCCAAGATTAATTTTTTGGATGCATGTGAGACTGCATCCTGACGACTCCTAGAAATATTAATTAGAGGAAGATGTGCTGGTTTATAAGGGACTGGTATTCCTACCTGAACCAGCTGAAGGCCTAGAGTTGGCAAGATTCAGAGATTAATGTTGATATGATCTCATTTGTTCCTAGGGCTTGTAAGGTTCAGAAATACTTAGAAGCATTAGGATTTCAGAAAGGAGGTGAAATCACTGAAAATTGTTGGCATCTTTTTCACTTTTGCCATATTTAAGATTTAAGACACAGTCATGTTTTAAGAAACAGAAAGATTTAAGACACTGATGAAAGATTTTTTTAAATAGTGATAACTAAGAAAACATTAAGCCAGATATTTACACAAAGAAATATTACACAACAATGAAAACAAATGAACCATAGCAACATGCAATAATATGGATGAATTTTAGAAATACAACATTAAGTGAAAAGTTTTTAAAAATTACCTACAACCATATAGCCTTTAACTTATAAGGTTAAAACAACCAATATAAAAATATATATTTAAAGGAAACATATAAGTGCATCAGTATGCCATAAAGGGGAGAGCAATGAACATGAGGTTTAGGCTGATGTTTACATCGGGTAGAGAGAGGGAGAGAACTAGGATGGGAGAAGCCACATCGATGGAGTTGGTTATTGTTTGGGGCTTAATGAGTGCTTGTGATAATAAAAACTAAGCAGGAATGGGTCATGCATGGAAAATGATGAGACAATGTCACAAAACAAAGATAATAATTAATGCAATTTTTTGCACATAAGGTCTCTGCAGTGGGGATGGAGGAGTCACACATTAAACCAGATTGCAGAGACTTTAATGAAACATTGAGGTAATTTTTCGTAATAACTAATGTTGATTTGGTTGAGAATTTCTCCTACAAGTACAAAAATGCACTTCGGACAGAGTCATCTTAAAATCTTTTCCTATAACTTGTTTTGGTTGCTTTTAATTTGATAGCAAGAATACAGCATATACACCAAAACATCACTAATGCCATTATCAGCTACACAAAAAAGGAAACAAAATATTGAAAGCAAGGTGTTTATACAGAGGTAGCATATTAAGAGCTTTTGATCACACTTTGATCAAATGGTCATGACTGTGCCATTGTGGTCCCAGATAGACCATTTCTCTCTCCTTCTCTATTCCACCGCCCTAGGAGCTGAGGGCCGTCATGCCCTGCCATGTGTCTCCACTGAGAAAAGAATGCAGCACTTGCTCAGAGGCTGCCCACTCTGTTCCCAGAGAACACTCAGACTTAGGCACAGAGGAGACTGACAGACCTTTGCACAGCCTCCTGTCCCCAGTAGCCCAGACTCTTGGGAGGCAGAGCCTGGAGAGAGGGAGGAAGTGTGGGTGGAGAGAACAGGACAATGGCACAGGCTGCTCTCAGGGGTTTCTGCAAGCACTCTGGGTAACGGGCTAGTGGTCCAAGGCCAATGGTACACATAGGACATTCTCATAGTTTTCCATATCATCTTCATGGTCCTGCCCTGCAGAGTCATCTTGGGGTGTCTTCTTCAACTCTGAATAAAAGATTGCAAGTTCCTGGAGAAGAAACCACAATGGTAAGTACCTAAATACAGGTGACGAAGGGCAGAGAGGAAAGAAAGCCAGGCAGTGTGACCCACCTTATCCTCCTGATGCATTCTTGGTGAATTTGCTGTTGGATGGGACCAGCAAAGAAAAGCGTTAGACTGTGGGCAATGTATGCCAACTTGCAATCTCTTGCAATGCACTCCAAGCCGTTCTTCACCTCTGCTACTCATCTCCTGACTGTTTCCTCTGATGAATTCTTCCAAGTCCTAACAGAAAAATTACTCCTCCACACACAACACACTAATAAAGCCTTTCTCCTTCTACCAAATGCTCAGAATGACTTCCATGATGACTTCCATCTTGCTCCTCTGCTCATCACAACCCAGCAGAGAAGATGCCCCTCAACCTGTTGTGGGCCCCCGAGGAGATCCTCGCAGAGAATGTGGCAGATATGACTCACTTTGCATGAAGAAATTGGAAAAGGCTGGAGAGTACATAAAGCAGAGCTTGGAGGTGGTGCCAGAGTGCAGAGAGAGGCCAGGGTCAAGCTTTGGAGTGGAGAGTCAGGGAAGGCAGTTAATCTAGGCAGTGAGTGAATGTGCATCTCAAATGGATTATGTTGGAAACAGATTGTTGAAAGGTTGGAGGAGAATAAGACTAGAAACAAAGAGACCAAAGAATTACAATTGTCTGTACATTAGATTATTTATTCCTTCAATCAAAAAATATTTCAAAGGGCCTATAGTTTTCTGAGCATTGAGCTAGACACTCTCTGGTACATTAGTGAAAAAGTTATAGTGTCTGCCCTCAAAGAGTTTACAGGGCAACAGTGGCAGCACAGCAGCTTGGAAAGATGAGGGAATGGATTGATAATATGATTGGCAATATGGGAGGAGCAGGTAATGCCTTCCATGTTGGACTCATATTTGAGATGACTATGATCAAAGACCTCTTGCTGGATCCGATAACCCACTGCCACCTCACCTCTACTTGTCTAAAAAGTATCTCACCTAAATTTTCTTGTGTATGCTGTAAGCTCCAGATCTCGGAATAAACTGTGTTGCTATATCCGGGATTTACTGTGAGAGAAGAGAAGATGTCGTAGTTGGCTGTAGTTAGGAGCTCACATTCCAGACTCTTCAAATTCATAACCACCTTCTATCCCCAATATAATTCCAGGAATGCCATTTTTAAATTAGTGGCAAGGCCATGGGATGTTGCTCAACCCCTCCTCCCTCCCTGGCTCATCCTTGGAGCCCTCTGCCCCCTGGGGAGTCCTCACCAATGCTGTACACTGGTTGCAGCTCCAGTGGGTCTCTTGGCTCATGGTGCATGGGCTCTTGGGGGTCTCTACCAAAGGGACTGGACAAGGAAGGCACCTGGCACTCACTGGGACTATATGCCAGAGGGGAAGAGACAATGAACAAGAAATATTTGTGGGTTACACAGAGTCTTAAGAAAATCAGTACCTAGGAAGACACAGAGTCTAGCATGATTCATGTAAAAATATCATGGCTGCTTCTGCATGGCTCCTTTGAGAAAATATCAGAAGGAGTGTGGCACAACAGGAAGCCTAGGGGCAGTATTATAGGGCAGGCCAGTGAGGCAAGGTCAGAGGGCAAAAACCACAGAGTCTCAAGGCCCTTTTGATAGAATACATACTCCTATTGACTAATGTTTAAAAGTATTTTCATCGCTTCTCAGCCTTTTGGCTAAGATCAAATGTAAAATTATTTTTAAAGATATAAGTACTTAAACGTTGATACACAAAGGCTTCTGCATTCTCATAGAACTTCAACTTTATCCTTTTCAAAAAGGTTCCTTTCAATTTTCTGTGTCATATTACAATAATCTACCCTTCCTGTAAGATACCATGAGGGTTCTTCAGGAAAATTGTTGGGGATTTTCCCTCAATTTTATTTCATTCTGCAGTTAATATTGTGAATTAAACATTGTTGGCATTCAATAATTGTTTCCTAAATGAATGTATGAGGGGAGGAATGAGGAGAAAGGGAATTAATAAGTGATGTCATTAAGACGTCAGTGGTCAATTCTCTACTGGAACACATTTAAGGAAGCAGATAAATTAACATGGATAACAAATAACATGCATTCTTGCATAAGTAGGCATAAGTGAGTATCATTCCCAACTACCAAGTAGAAATGGCCTTCTAATCACATATTTGGATTTAGTAAGAATGTGAAAATGTATATAGGAAGTCCATTCAAATCTTTTCGAAGTGTAGGTAATTCTGTGTTCCTATCTTGTGGACATAAATAAATCATGAAACTCTTGGCAGCACAAGAAGCAGAGACCTCACCTAGATGTTCCAGTGGCAGAAAGTCCTCCTGCAAAACAAAGGAACACTGGTGGTGAATGAGCTGTATGGATAATGTGCTCTATGTCAGAATGTTCTTCCCTAGAAATCAGTCTCACTGTAGATCTCAGCTGTGACAAATCTTAGAGAACATCCAGCTCCATTCCCCATGTCATGCTATAGGTGAGGAAGGTGGGATCTTGAAAGACATTTGTCCTGAATCAGACTTACTCTGAGTCATTTCTCAATCAGTAATGATCAGGTGAACAGCAACTCTAAGTAGCTGAGACTGAGGAGCTAAAGGGGGACAAGTTAATATTTGACTCTGGGCCAAGTGCTTCCCCACATCCATTCCTTTACCCTGACTGCAGCTCTACAGGACAGAGAGAAGGAGACTGAGGCCTGGAGAGGCCAAGAGGGGCTTAACATTGATTCAGAATTCCTGCACAAGTATGAATCAATGGGACTACCACAGTACGCTCAACACTCTCTTTCTCTATCTGTGACCCCTGCACATCTATTCCAGCAACATGGAACTGCCTATCATTTGGGTACATAATGGTCTTTCCTTCTCTTTCACCTGGCTACTTCCAACCTATCTTTCCTCCTCCAGAGCTTTCCCCGATGTCAACAGGCTGGATTAAGTGACCTACCTCGATGCATACAGAACCACGTAATGTTAAAATTAATATATTGTATTGTAATTGTTAGTATTTCTTGTTTGCCTCTAATTCTTTCCTTCATGAAAGGATGTGCTACTTGAGGCTGAAAACCTTGTCTTCATTTTTTTCGTATTCCCAGTGCCATGCCTAGCAGGTGAAAACATTCACTAAAGATTTGTTAAACAAATTTAAAACTGTTCTTAAAGACTTAAAAAAAAGTAAGTATAATTTTGAAGCCTACTCTATCAGCCTTATAAATATGGCAGTTTTCCATCACTGAAATATTGAAATCTTCCTTGTCTGCCCCAAGACAAGCCTCCTCCAAAGTTCCCATCCCTGTCTTTGGCATTTTTTAAATCTGTGGCTCTGTAGCTGTCTCACTGGGTTCACATGAGTAATTGTCAAAATAAACATACCAACCTTGACTCTCCTGAAACAAACTCCAAATACTACCTGTAAACTTTGCCCTCCTGAATTAAGCTAGAGGTATACAATTGTGAACTGGTCCTGTATCTCTCTCCTCTGAGCAATTGCATCCACAGCAATCAACAACCTGTATCTTCCCTTTGAGCAGTTAGCACAGTCCCAGGATACATCTGGGTCAGTCCGTCCCCTCATTTATAAAAGGGAAAACTGAGACCTAGAGAGATGGGTATTTATAATTCAAGCTAATGGTCCCTAGAGACATGGGCCAGGCATGCTAAGTAGTTTACCTAGATTAACTCATAGCACTTAAAAGGTAGATACTATTGTTATAACCACTATATAGATGAAGAAAGTGGGGTTTGGAGAGTTTAATTTACTTGCCCAATATCAAGTTGTTGGCACATTACGTTACTGGAATTTCAATCCAATCAGTCTGGCTATAGAGCCAATAAATCTTCCACCCCTTTTGAAAAATTGTAAGATTCACTCAGGCAAGGAGCAGAGCTCTCCATTTTTAGAAAAAAAATGGGAGGTCTGAGCTCCTCCCTGAAAAGTCTGGTCAATGATGAGAAGGGAAGCCTTGCTATGATGAGGTAGGAAAAATTTTGAGCAGAGAAGGGAAGAAACCCTCTGTTTTGTAAACGGTTATAATTCCTTAGTGAGCTTATTATTTAAAACAACACTGCCCCTAGATCTGGGGGACAGAACCAACCAGGCTTCTGTTCACATGGATCACATAAAATGACAGTTAGTATTCTTTCCTTCTCTGGTGCTGTGTTGACTGAGCAGTTAGCTTTTTGAACATTTTTCATTTTAACCTTGAGACTCTAATGTCTTCTTCTAGTACATGACAGATTAATAAATGATATCCCAGATAGATGATAAGAGAGGAAAAGGAAAAGTAATTTTGAAGCTGGAAGATGTGACTAGCTTTCTACAAGTCATCAAAGTATACTGGGGACAGTATCAACCCAAGGGTTAGATAGACTCCAGTTAATGTCTAACTCCGACTCTTAATAGCTATGGGAATCTGGAAAGTTTATTTAACTTCCCGAACCTCCATTTCTTCATCTCTTACATAATTATAACAATAATGGTTGGATTGAATTATACTTATTAAATAATTGAGAGAATTAGACAAACTATAAAATTTCATACAATGGATTTTAAATGAATGACATATTTTATGATGAATACTATTGGGGTTAGAATTCTTATCATCTTTGTACATTTAAAAAACATAAATACATATGCGTAATTTTATATGTAATCTCATTTAAGAAAACATTAAGTATCTTTGGAATATCAGTTGGTGCCACTTTTCTTTCAAAGAAGCAGAAAGATGGAGTCTCATCAATTGAGCCAAAAATAAAGGTAAGAGGTAAGAGGACAAGGCTTTGCCAGGATGACTGGGAAAAATACAGAAGGTTTTTCATCATATTGAGGTCCTGGAGCTTTATTTATTTGTTTGTTTATTAGCTTGATTTTCAGTATGATCCCTGAGAAAGGGAGGACAGGAACACTTGGCCTGACACAAAAGAAGATGCCATATTATGCCACATGGAGGGCAAGACAGAAAGTAAAGGATTAGCAATTCCAAAATCTAAAGTCTTGAAATCTTGCAACTTAGAGCACTAAATAAAAGATTCCTACATTCAACGATTCCTGATCCATGAAAAAAAGTTCAGAGAGAGAGAGAAAAGGCAGCAGCGACAGAAGAATAAAGATAAAGATGACAGTACATTTCTTGTCAGAAACAATGCCCATGAAAAGACAGTGGATAAACATCCTAAAAGTACTGAAGGAACAAAAAATCTGTCAACCTAGAATTCTATGTCAGCAAAAATGTATTTTATAATTAAATGCAAAATAAAGACTTTTACAGACATAAAAATGCTAAAATAATTTATCACCAACAGACCTGTCCTGTATTATTAGTAATGTTAAAAGAACTCCTTTGGCGGAAGGGGGAATGGGCATTTATTGAAACCTTAAAATCTGTACCCCCATAATATGCTGAAATAAAAATAAACAAATAAATAAATAAAAGGATACCAGATGGAAATATGGATATACAAAAAGGAGTAATGAATATTGGAAGTGGCAACTACATGAGTAAATATATAACATTTTTCTTATATATAAATGTCTTTAAAAGATAATTTATTATTTACATAAGTAATAATGTGTCTGGGAGGGGGGAAATGGAAGTACACTATGGTAAGATTCTTATATTCCATATAAAATAACACTATTACTTGAAGATAGACAGTGATAAGTTAAAGATGTGTATACTATAAACGCTAAAGTAACCACTAAAATAACAAAACAAATACTTATAGATGATAAACCAACAAAAGAAGTAATATAGAATAATAAAAAATACTCAACTGATCCAAAAGTAGGTAGAAAAATAAAAACATAAAACAAATGGGACAAATCAAAAACAGCAAACTAGATACATACTTAACTATATCAATAATTACATTACTATAAATGGTCTAAACACCTCATTGAAAAAGTAGGCTATCACGTTTGACTAAAAAAAAGCAAGAATTAACCATATGTTATCTACAAAAATATGCACTTTAAATACAGGGACACAAATAGGTTAGAAGTAAAAGGATGGGGAAAGAAATACCATGCTAACACTAATGATATTAATCCATTAATATCAGACAAAGATTATTACAGATAAGTGATACTACCAGGGATAAAGAAGGTCATTTCATAAGGATAAAGTGGTTAATTACTCAAAAACACATAACAATTCTAAACATTTATGTACCTAATAATGAGCACCAAATTATCAAAGCAAAACTTGATAGAATTGCAAGAAGAAATGGACAAATCCACAATTATAGCCAAAGATTTCAATCTTCCATCTCAATAATTGGTAAAGTTGACAAAAATCAGCAAGGACATAGAAGAATTGAATAACACTATCAATCAAGTTCACCAGCAGACACCTATAGTATACTAAATGTTAAGTCCTTCAGCAGAACAAAAATAATACCAGGTAGAAATATGGATATAAAAAAGGAATGAAGAATACTGGATGTGGTAACTAAATGGGTATGTATTACTTTGACAGCAAGTCTTAAAAAGACATGACAAGAAAAGGAAGCTACAAACAAATAGCTCTCATAAACATAGATGTAAACATTCTTAACAAAATTTTAGCAAACCAAATCCAACAATCGTGACCCATTTGGATTGACCACAGAAATGCAATGCTGCTTCAACATTCAAAATTTACCTTATGAATAGACTTAAAAAAACAACCGTATGATTATCTCAATTAATGTGGAAAAAGCATTTGACAAACATTTATTTCTTTTTTTTTTTCTGGTTATATTGTCTCCCATTTTTAATTCAACAAATTTACGGGGTATATGAGAAATTTTGTTACATGTATATAATGTGTAGTGATCAAGTCAAGGTTTTCAGGATGTCCATCATTTGAGTACAAAATGTTTTTGTTAAGCATAGTCACCACACTTTGCTATTAAACATTGGATTTATTCCTTTTATTTTACTGTATGTTTATATACTCTAACCCATTTCTCTTCTTTCTCCCCTTCTTACACTTCCCAAGTCTCTCTTATCTATGTTTCCACTTTCTTCCTCCACTGACAAACATTATTTCTACAAAAACTCTCAGCAAATTAAGAACATTAGAGACTTCCTCCAAAAGATAAAGAGCATCTACAAAAAACCCACAACTAAAGTAATCCTTAATGGTGACAGGCTGAATACTTTCCCCCTAAGATCAGGAACATGACAAGGATGTCTGCTTTTACCACGTCTACTCAACATTGTGCAGGAGTTTCCAGCTAGTGCAATCAGGCAAGAAAAAGAAATAAAATGAATTAAGGAAAGAATGAAATAGTCTTTATTAGCACACAACATGACCGTCTATGTAGAAAATCTGATGGAATCTACAAAACACATAACTAGAACTAGTGAGTTAAGCAAATTTTCAAGATATAAAATTAATATATAAAAATCAGCCGGGCACGGTGGCTCACGTCTGTAATCCTAGCACTCTGGGAGGCTGAGGTGGATGGATTACTCGAGGTCAGGAGTTCGAAACCAGCCTGAGCAAGAGTGAGACCCCATCTCTACTATAAATAGAAAGAAATTAATTGGCCAACTAATATATATAGAAAAAATTAGCCGGGCATGGTGGTGCATGCCTGTAGTGTCAGCTACTCAGGAGGCTGAGGCAGAAGGATTGCTTGAGCCCAGGAGGGTGAGGTTGTTGTGAGCTAGGCTGACGCCACAGCACTCACTCTAGCCTGGACAACAAAGCGAGACTCTGTCTCAAAAAAATAAAAAAATAAAAATAAATAAAAAAATAAAAATCAGTTGTATTTCTGTATATTAGCAACAAACAATCAGAAATGGAATTCTAAATATCACTGTCAGCATTCTCTATTAATTTTATTCAAATTTCACTGTATCTCATTGGTATTCAAATATATCTCAGCATTTATGGTTGCACCTATGGCGACTAATTTTTGTTACAAATGGAGGACTTTCTCTGTTTTTTTTTGTTCTTTTTGTTTCTGGTAACTTTGGAATGGAAGTGGAAGAGGAAATAATTAATTTTCTAATTTTTAACTGGAAGCAAAACTCTGCTACCTGCACGTGAGGTAAGAACTTCATTTGAGAAGTGTATTCTATTTTTTTGGTTACTATTGCCTACAGACTGACAGTGAGTAGTAGAACTGAGGGCTTAGTACTTAGAAGAGAATAATTGAACTTTGTCAGATGGACCACAGAACTCCAAATTATTATAGCAGTGGCAAAAGTCACAACACAAAAGGGCCAGGGGACAGAGACACCCACCTGATTTCCTTTGGGTCCTGCAGTGGCACAGCAAAGCAGCAGTAGCAGCAAGGCCAAAGATGCAGAGCAGCCCCCCAACGGCTCCTGCAGTGATAGGGCCTATTCTGTTCCTGGAGGTCCCTGAGTGAGGAGATCCATACTTGAATTCCAGTGGCAAAGATTTGTGATGCAGACAAAAACCATGCAGGTGCTATTTTCTAGGTTCTGATTTCTCCATTTGAATTATCTTTAGTATAATTTGTAATTTTCCAAATGATGGCATAGGAAGGGTGTTGGCCACCATCTAAGATTAAAATGTATTTCCTTTCCCTCTCTCTCATAGAAGCAGTACCAATCTCTAGAAGCCTCAAGCCTTAATGTACATGTTCAAACACTCCTTGACAGTGGTAGAATTTGAGCTATCTGCTAGAGAAATATTTTATTGACCATACCGGTGACCTCTAGCCCAGGTGACACTAACCCACCTGTAACATTGAGCATCACCACCTCACTGCGCTGGGCCCCCAGGCCATTGTCGGCTTCACAGAAGTAGTTTCCAGAATGTTCTGCAGTCAGCGAGAGGTTGAAGGACACTCCTCCTCCAGAGGGTGCTGAGCTGTTTCCCAGGCTGATATCCTCGTGATAAAACCAGTACAGGATCGGGGGAGAGCCTCTCAGGGCCTCACAGCGAAGTTCCACCACATCCCCCTCCACAACCTGGGCCCTGGGAGCTGTGATGGTGAGGACAGGGCTGGACGCTGGAAGTGAGGGAGGAAAAATACTTCACTGGTAGTTTTGCTTAAGCATGTGTACAAGAGAACTTAACAAAGGAATACACAATATAGTTTAGCAGTAGGAACATAGACCTGGATTCAGGAAAACCTGGGCTTGAATCCTGTCTCTGACCTTTATTAGCTCTATAATCTTGATTTTTAAAAACTTTTAAATTTCTCTAAGTCTTGGTCTATTCCTCTGTAAAATGGAGCTAATGATAAATTATATCTCAAGCTATTGTAATAAGAATCACATACTGTATGTAACGTTCTCAGTAAATATTGACCATTACTATTGATATAAATAACTGAAATCAAGGTTTAAACATTCCTACTCCTGAATCTTAACTCTAAGACCTAGACTTTAATATCCATCTGAAGTAGGGCCTCCTGACTCTCTACGCAATCACCTTGCTTTATTTTTGTACGTAGCATTTAGCACTACCTAACTAAATGCTATCTATTTATCTATCTTTGTTGTATATCTGATTCTCCCAATAGAGTGTGTGTTCCATACAAATGGAGACTCATCTCTTTGTTCATTGCTGTTCCAGCTGCTGGAACTTTGCCTGGCATGTGAAAGCACTCAATAATTGGTGACTGAATGGATGACTGAATTGATCCAAGCTGGCACAAAAATATCCAGATAGAGCACTGATGACAATGATTGCCATTTTAATGGATAATTATAGAAATAGGACAGCCAGGAAGAATAGAAAACCATCACTGTGGAATATGAACTATAACATTGCTGGTCTGCTAAGTTGTGAGGAAACCTGGATAAGCCAACCTGTGTGCTTTACTGGCAAGGGAGGCTTGATAAGGAACTTAACAAGCTCTGCTTTGCATCAGAGATTGGCTAAAGGAAGTGAGAGTGAAGATGGAAACTACTCATTGCATAGCAACAAACTAGAAAATGAGCCATCTCCTGGCTGCAGGAAAGACAGTGCCTCCTGCCTCATCAGGTAGAGATGCCAATCCCGGTGGTGGAAGTGCAGAGTTCCTGCTAAATTGAAACTGATGGCTTGAGTTTGGCCCTTTAGTATATCCTCTGCAGTACAAAGTGAGCGGGGAAGGATGCAAAGGGCTTCAGGGACCTCTTTGTACGGTGCTGCATGATCTCAATGTGCCTTTCCACCCATCTCTGGGCTTCTGTGTTCTGGCAGCAGAGATTCCCAACTTCTTCCATCTCATGCCCTCCTCTAGGGCTCATGGGACCTCTGGTTCCATATGCACATTTTTCTAAAATCAAAGAATTCTAGGACCGAAAAAAACCATGGTTATTATCAAGTTTAGGGGTGCGAGAAGAAAATACGAGAATGACTAAGAGTATTTAATTTTGAGCTTGAAATTTAAAAAGATATCTAGCCTTACTAATATGTACGGTGGCACTCTTGGTCAGGCTCACATCACACACCTTGTGTTGGGACAGGACAGGAGTTCCTGTGAAGATAGGGCTCCTACAGTGTGTTTTTTGAACCTGTTTGTTCACTCTCAGCATATTGGAACATATTGCCCTTTTAATCGGCTACTTGAGTATTTTGACAGATTATTTTAACTTAGATAATAAAATCTTCACAATGCTTTGGCATGAGATTGGGGGATGACCACAGACCTTTCAGTATCACACCAAAGTTATTTGATTATTTGGTGGCAAAGTTCTAAAAGGAGGACTTAAATGTAAAGATGAGCTGTGTGTTTTTCCATGAAGAAAGACTAGCATACAATTTTTGTTGATTTTTTTTGCGGGGGTGATCAGTGACTATCAACAATATAACACTTAGCAGACACTTCTGAAAAGTGACCTTTAACAGTATTCATATTATCAATGTTTTTCTAAACTCATGCTATGGGGATAATGGTTCAGGAAATAGTTGTGTAAAAATATTTATATTTACATGTGGTTTTATTACCATTTATTAAAAAGTAAATATGTCAGCTTTAAAAATTTATATCTGCACCCTTAAAAATCCATGGAAACAAAACGTTGCAATCGGTTTATGATTCTTCCAAAACTTGAACACATTTGCTATAGATTCAAATATGCAGCACTTCCCAATTGCTTTACAAGAACAACTAATTGACATCAAAGAAAATGTAAACTTACTAGCCAAATTTCAATGAAAATCTGTGCAATTAGTGTATGAGATTAAAAAATGAGTATCATGCATTTGAAAGAGCAACAATGATACTCTGTTTCCGCTTGGATCTAGCTGTATTTTAAAGCTACAACAGACACTGAAACCAATTGGAATAAGCAAAACTCAGAAAGAAACCTCAAATAACTGTACCATCAAAAGTAAGCTAAGATTTTCAAAATAAATGAAGCATATTCAATTATAATTTTAGTCAGATATTCTAAATCAAAGATTTTAAAATATTGTTATTTTCATTCTTATTTACTGTATGTTTCTCTGTTTGCAATGTGCATGTTAAGGTAGTCTAGTAGTACAAGTATATAATTAATAAACACATATACAGGGTATATGTTCAATACTTTGACTGAAAGTGGTTTGGGATCAAGAGCTTTTGTATCTCCCTGATTTACTTGACTCAATTACTTTATAAATAAGAAAACTGAGAACAAGGCTAGTAAGGAGACTTGTTCAAGACTGGAATTGTAGTCTTAGCACACTGTCTGGCACTCCTAGGTTCTAATACCTCCTTGAATCATAACCTGTGTGTGGCCCATAGGAAGAATAATTATCAACCAAAATATCATAAGTGTTCTAGGAGTTTGGAATCTTTGAAGAACAAGAGTCCACGGCAAAATCAGAGAATGTAATGGTTTGAGTCACTGGGAGTCACTGCCATATCTCTTTTATTCTGGCACCTCTTGCTGTTTCCCAGTGCCCTATCCTACCCTCCAAATGCTAGGCACTTTGGAATAACCATGGCTTTTGGACTGGGGGTCTCTCCTAAAAGGCTGGGCGCATTGCTAATTGCCAATATGGGCTGGACGTGGGAGATGCGGCTGCCTTGGTGCCCCTGGTGAAGAAAAATTTTGTTAGGGGATACCGAGAACATCAGGTTAAATGGGACCCCAGTCAAAAGGCGTCTGAGAAAAGTGAGAAGGCTAAACACCCATTAGAACCTGGAGGCTATAGAAGAGCCCTGCCGCTCTGGTGGCTGGAGATATCCACAGGAGAGACACTTTACCTAATGACCCAGGGAGTCGAGTGGGAATGAGATTGGATCAAGGTAGGGGCAGAAAACAGTGGCGAGGAAAGATCTGGTCATTTGTTCCTGGGCAAAGGAATTCAGAAATAAGGATTTCTATACCATGTTCTTTCGTCAGTAATTACTGAGCCATCACATACCTGGTATTTTGGAAAGTCTCTGTGCCTCTACTAGAAAGAATGTGTGCACTATATGGCTATTGACGACAGTGACAGAGGAAGTAAAGCAATAGTCTAAGTTGACGGAATGTGTAGTCACAAGGAAGAATCCCAGAACTCCAAGGTGAAGGCAGAGAAAGCAGGAAGTCTGCTGGGACACCACACCAGCAAATAGCCCAGTGGAGCTCTGTTTGTGAGACAACATAGTCTTCGTTGGTATTAACTGCTGTGGGCATGTGCTGCTTACCTGTGACATTGAGACTCATTATCTGACTGCGCTGGCGCCCCAAGCCATTGTCAGCCTCGCAGAAGTAGTTTCCAGAATGTTCCATAGTCAGAGAGAGGTTCAAGGATGCTCCTCCTCTAGAGGGGGCCAAGCTGCTGCCCAGGGGGACGTCTTTGTGATAAAATAGGTATGAGATAGGGGAAGAGCCCCTCGGGGACTCACAGTGAAGCTCCACCACGTCCCCCTCCACGGCCTGGGCCCTGGGCATCCTGAAGGTAAGGACGGGGTGAGATGCTGGAACTGAGGGAGACAAAGGAGCTGTCAGAGAAGGATTCCAACGCTGTGACAAATTCATAAGCCCACGCTTATGAATAGACACATCCCTTGATAGCTTCTGTTTCCCACCGACCACACTCTCCTCATCTAATAATAAAGACATTTCTCCAAAACCAAGAGAACAAATCCTGTGCAATCATGTTTTCATCATCACTCTGTGTTAGGTTTGTTCCAGGTAGGAACCTGAAAAGTATATAAAGGACAGAATGTGGTTAACAGACGTGGTAAATCCAACAGCCAGCTGCAGCCAGCATTCCTTTCCGCACCCCACATAGGGACCAAGTTTATCCCTCCCTCTCTCTCCTGATAAGGATGATGCTGGAGCTGGAGGATGGGTGTGACTGGGGCAGGGCTCCTAGGAGCTGGTTGTTTGAAAAAGAATTCATTACAAGCAGCTGTTCTGGCCCACTTACTGCCCCCGGAAAAACCCTCTATAAAACCCAAGGCTCTCCCCTTTTCTTTCATGGACAGTTTTTCGCCTCCATCCATCTGCACCCAGATGCTCAAAATAAACAGCATTTTGCTACACATGAGCCTTCGTGTGTCTCTGTCTCGGCTCTGGACCTAACACTCAGTCCTCTCCTCAAGGAGTAAGGCATCTTGGGCCGGGCGCGGTGGCTCACACCTGTAATCCTAGCACTTGGGGAGGCCGAGGCAGGTGGATTGCTCGAGGTCCAGAGTTCAAAACCAGCCTGAGCAAGAGCGAGACCCTGCCTCTACTATAAATAGAAAGAAATTAATTGGCCAACTAATATATATAGAAAAAAATGAGCCGGGCATGGTGGTGCATGCCTGTAGTCCCAGCTACTTGGGAGGCTGAGGCAGCAGGATCGCTTAAGCCCAGGAGTTTGAGGTTGCCGTGAGCTAGGCTGACGCCACAGCACTCACTCTAGCCTGGGCAACAAAGTGAGACTCTGTCTCAAAAAAAAAAAAAAAAGGAGTAAGGCATCTTAATTTATCTTCCCATCTTGCCATTCTTTGAATAGCTTTTAAATCTTCACATCTCTGTTTTGTTTTTTGCTTTTTCCCTCCTTTAGAAGATCCTCATGGCAGTCAGAGAAACTAAACTTTGGCTTGAGAACCAAGGCTGAGCAGAAGGAAACTGGAACTTACTTTTCACGGTAACTGTCTTCCATTTGCTGTGGACGGGGCCGAGACTGTTGTCAGCCGCACAGTAGTAGCGCCCTGCATCTTGCTCGCCCACAGGGCCAACCAGCAGGTTCGCCACCAGGGAGCACTGGGTCTTTCTACCCACTCTTGTTACTCCATCTTTGTGCCAGGAGAATGTGATAGTCCCTGTACCCTTAGCTACTGAGCAGATAAGGACCAGATTTCCTCCTTCAATCAGCTGCCCTCCAGGTGGCTGAATCTCTAGATTCACACCAGACACAAGAACTCCTGGGAGGACACAAGATGACAAGTGAGGGTCCTGGTATCAGGGACCTCAAGATCAGAGAGAAGGCTGGAGCTGCCATGAATAGGCCAATAGCAGCAGGTGCAATAGGCAGTTGTCCAAAGTAAGAAATAAGAAATCACTTGTGTATATTATTATAAAGGGAATGACATTCTTCCTCAATCCCATAATTTCTATCATTGGGGAATGTAGGCACCAGGTCCATGGTCTTCCTAAACCTAATGTTGTCTGCAGCCACATTTTATGGAAATTTATCTCTAAGGAATTACTGATACACCAATGAAGCATAGAATAAGGGCGAACATGGGAGATCTTCTATCCTGAAGTGACTTTACTCAGAATCCAAACTCTTCCCCTATCCTTTGAGACTTCTCCAGTCTTATTTCCATGTCCCCACATTCTTCTCTTGACTATTCCAGTTCATATTTTTCTTCCTCTTTTCTGACCATTAACATGTGAGTTTAGGTCAACCAATGGAAGCACCATAGGGCCCCCTAACAACTGCATGTGGTCATCTGTGCTTCTGGTTGTCTGCTGACTCATGAGAGAGAAGATCCTGTGCATCTCTGTACCCACCACAGGGTTGGGCACTCAGGAACTGATCAATAACTGCTATTACCTGACTGAGGTGGAAGAGGCTGTTCTAGGGCCATTAGACCAATGACGAGCCTGAAGAGGGAAGAACGCCAGGAAAGCTGGATGTCCCTCTCTGTTATGTCCACCTCCCCAGAGGCAGCAGATGTCATTGTTCTGCCCTCCTCTCCCCAGCTCTGGCTCTGGAAAAGCAACCACTAAGACACTCACTCTGCACGTGTATCCAGGATCTCTGGCTCATTTTTACGACATTGTGAGTCACTGTCTTTGCCTCACGCCAGTAAGACCGTGAGTCTCTACTCCACATTGCAGCAATCCAGAGCTCTGGGGGGCTGCTCCGGCCTAATCCCAGGGCCTGGCTGTCTCTGAAGAAGCGGAACTGGAGCTGGACCTCTGATTTCTGTGGAGGGAGCTAGGTCTCCCGGATCTCACAGGTCAGGGTCATGGGACTTCCCTCCCTGGAGCTGGGAGGGGCTGGCTGTCAGCACAGGGTATGGAAACAGCTCTAAGGAAAAGAATAAACACAGTCCCCAGGACAGTGAGGCTCAGAGTTCGGGGAGAGGTGCAGCTGTGTTCTGGGCACCAGTCATCAGAAGACAGAGAACCATGCTTATGGAACCATCTCCCTCCCATGGCTGGGCCATAAGAGTCTTTTCATGAAATCCCCACTGGTGAGCATCTTCCCTCAATCCTTACAGCTTCTCCACCAAACCCTATAACCCACAAGAATATATAGCCATTATCTTGAACTTTTCTCCTTAGAGATTTTGAAGTTTCTTTCCTTGTTGTTATAAAAAGTTCCCTAGAAGCAGTGCAATGTTATTTGCCATTCTCCCTGGAGACTGAATTTAGCATGATGGATTCTGAATTAAAACTACCACAAAGCTGTCCTCCATCCTTGTGGTACATTTTTTCACTCGTCTACTCTTCGTTTCTTCCCCAGCACCTCAGAACGACATTATCTCCTGCCAAGACAGGACACGAAGCCTGGGGGATCAGCCAGTCTACAAAGAGCAGAGGAGCACACGCTGTCTATCGCCTGCTGCTTCTGTCTTCACTCTCAGTTCTGCCCATGGGACAAGAGCCACAGTCCCAAGTTGGAAACACTCTCCTAAACATCGGCCTGGGCAAAGAGTTTATGAAGAAGTCCCCAAAGGCAATCACAGCAGCAACAAAAATAAATAAATGGGACATGATCAAACTACAAAGCTTCTGCACAGCCAAAGAAATAGTCATGAAAGTAAACAGACAACCTACAGAATGGGAGAAAATTTTTGCATCCTATGCATCCGATAAGGGACTGATAACTAGAATATACTTAGAACTCACGAAAATCAGGAAGAAAAAATCAAATAACCCCATTAAAAAGTGGGCAAAGGACTTGAACAGAAACTTTTCTAAAGAAGACAGAAGAATGGCCAACAAACATATGAAAAAATGCTCAACATCTCTAATCATCAGGGAAATGCAATTCAAAACCACAATGAGATATCACTTAACCCCAGTGAGAATGGCCTTTATCAAAAAATCTCCAAACAATAAATGCTGGCGTGGTTGTGGAGAGAGAGGAACACTCCTACACTGCTGGTGGGACTGCAAACTAGTTCAACCTCTGTGGAAAGCAATATGGAGATACCTTAAAGCGATACAAGTGGATCTACCATTTGATCCAGCAATCCCATTGCTGGGCATCTACCCAAATGATCCAATGACACTCTACAAAAAAGACACCTGCACTCGAATGCTTATAGCAGCACAATTCATAATTGCAAGGCGGTGGAAACAGCCCAAGTGCCCATCAATCCAAGAATGGATTAATAAAATGTGGTATATGTATACCATGGAGTACTATTCAGCTCTAAGAAACAACGGTGATATAGCACATCTTATATTTTCCTGGTTAGAGCTGGAACCCATACTACTAAGTGAAGTATCCCAAGAATGGTAAAACAAGCATCAGATATATTCTCCAGCAAACTGGTATTAACTGAGCAGCACCTAAGTGGACACATAGGTACTACAGTAATAGGGTATTGGGCAGGTGGGAGGGGGGCGGGTATATACATACATAATGAGTGAGATGTGCACCATCTGGGGGATGGTCATGATGGAGACTCAGACTTGTGGGGGGAGGGGGGAAATGGGCTTTTATTGAAACTTTAAAATCTGTACCCCCATAATATGCCGAAATTTTAAAAAAAAAATACTTCTCCAAAAAAAAAAGAGCCACAGTCCCATACACACCTGCAAGTGTCCTCCACCAACATTGCCAAATGGCCCCAAACCTGATTCTTCCTTGCCCTGGGAGAATGAACTAACTCCCAGAGAATGTCCTTGAGAAATTTCCATGCATGCCTTTTAAACAAAAGAGGAATATTGTTCTACATCTTTCCCAGACCAGATTCTTTTTGCCTGGTGGCCTCTGGGCTGCCCACACATCTCTGGATGGAGGAGGTGAACAGTGCACCATCATGCTCCCTCCCTGTCTCCTCATTCTCCCCACTGGGATCAGTACATCAAACATCCCCATGCCTGTGTACAACTCTGCCCGAGCTCCTTGCCTTAACCCAGTCCTTGGATATTCAGCCTAGTGGTGTGACTTTAGGGATTCCCCCTTCTTTTCCTCACCAGATGAAAATTCCACATGCACAGGGTCACTGCAGGAGGATCCTTGGGTCTTGTATTGGTAATATCGAGATGTTTTCATTTGGATCTCTTCAGATTTTCTTTCCAATAAATCCCCATTATGATACCAAAATGCATCTCCCTGGGCTGGGGAATGGGATTCCCTGTGTGTGAAGAGTCACTCTCCTTCCTTTGAAGGTTGTGGATCATCCACAGAGAAGTACAGCTTTTGGAGGGGCCCCTGAGCAGGAAATGGAAAGTGTAGGAAAGGGAAGGTAGGCACAGAACGGAGGGCCAAGGGGAAAGCCTGCAGGGGGGAGTTTTCCTGGACTAATTCCCAGTGAGGACCAGGGTTGGAAATGGAGCAGAAAGAACCTGGGGGAAATGCCTGGGACAGAATCTGTTCCTCCTTACCCTTTGCCTAGCCTGGGGGGAAGGGGTGTCAAAGGGAATAGGTCTCAGGTTCTTGGTATGGGCTCATAAAAGCTCAGGAGATGAGTTTTGAAGTTGGACAAACAGCGTGAAGGCCTCAGAAGGTGGGCTGATTCCGAAATGCTCTTGCCTCATACATTCCTGTCAAAGGCGAACCTGGGATGCATATACCTCAAAAGCAGTTTCTAGACTCTAGAAAATCACTTCCTAATGGTTAACATTTAATGAACAAGATTTTTTTTCACTTTTATTACTTTGAAACCTTGCTTAGTTTACGATTCTGTGCAGAAGGCAACTGTACTCTCCCTCTAAGTTAGACACAATAATTAAGGGTTATAAAGAATTCGAATGAGGCCAGGCGCAGTGGCTCACGCCTGTAATCCTAGCACTCTGGGAGGCCGAGGTGGGTGGATTACTCGAGGTCAGGAGTTCGAAACCAGCCTGAGCCTGAGCGAGACCCCGTCTCTACTATAAATAGAAACAAATTAATTGGCCAACTAATATATATAAAAAAAATTAGCTGGGCATGGTGGCACATGCCTGTAGTCCCAGCTACTCGGGAGGCTGAGGCAGGAGGATTGCCTGAGCCCAGGAGATTGAGGTTGCTGTGAGCTAGGCTGATGCCACGGCACTCACTCTAGCCTGGGCAACAAAAGCGAGACTCTGTCTCAAAAAAAAAAAAAAGAATTCGAATGAAGGAGGATGGGCTGCTTGAGCAATCAGACTTGTGTGTGGAACTGCAGCTGAGCGATGGGTGTGGAAGTTGAGTTATGGCAGTGGCATGAGTTCTTCTGGAGATGGATGAGGGTTTTACTACAGCACTGCCCTTATGAGAGGGAGCTATTCCTATGCCCTTTGAGAGCAGCACTGGCTTGGACATGCAGAGGGAAAGGCATTATGGAGCAGGGAGATCATATCTCTCAATCTCTGGCCCTTGCCTCTGCCTTTCCCTCTGCAAATGTTTCCTTCCTTTCTACACTGAGGCATCCTGGTAATGGGGGAAGAACTGGAGACTGGGGAAATGAGAGGAGAGTCTGTTCACCCAACATAGCAACAGGTGTGACCCCAGATCAGTGGTGCCACTCGTGTACAGGGCTCGGGACAGGCTGTGCAGGCCAAGGACACTCATGCCCAGCAAGCAGGAGAAGCAGAGAGAAGGGGAAACTTACTTGATTGTTCTCTTCCAAGAACTGTGAGGGAGCCTAAATTGACAGACTAGCACAGGGCAGTGTTTCTCAAACCTTCGCAATCAGACACTCTCTGAGAAATTTTCTAACAACCCAGCTATAACCACTTCTTGTTTTTCCTTCCCATTTCTTTGCTCTCCTTCTGTATCACCCATAGCCCCTAAACAGCAGCAACAACAACAA